TTTTTCCACACCTCAATAAATGATTGCACAGCAACCAGTGGCAAAGATAAGCACCTTCTACCCAGAGAGACCGCATGATATACATGTGCATACATACAGAAAAAGCTGTGAAAGTTAGCAACACTTCAAAAACTGGGATAAACGATCAAACCTATTAACTGGACTGACATAGATGTAAGAATATAAGATATAGTTGCTTATATTCCACACCATATTAACGCCATACAGCCTCACTTAGATGTGGAAGACGATTTATAGCTGACCATCTGTTTGTGTCATAAAATCTTACCCTTTTACATAAAACAAACACATTTGTGAAATGCAATTGACACAAATGCAACATGCAGTCTTGCTAGTAATGTGTCAATTACTTTTTAATGTCTAAATGTTAAACCTGATGACTTTCAAAGCAGACCTGCAGTTAATTTCACAGTAACACGCTGTTTAACAAATTGCCACAGTCAGCACGTACAACCTATTTCAATGATCCGTCTCCCGTTTTATTTCCCAGATGAGAAGGTGGAGTGAAAGCAAATCAGTGTGATGGCAAAAGCAAACGCTGTTTAGTTTATAGTTTGTATTCGTATTCCTGCTGAATCCAGCCAAGACAAGATGCAGTGAGTCAATACAAACACAATGGCTGAACGTATCAATCATTAATCAAAGGATTCGTTAGGAGCACTTGGAGAAGCAGAGACACAGAACGGGCTTTTAAGTTCTAAATGTGGGTCTTGCACAGACGTGAATAACCTGTGATCTCACCCCACAAAAATGTGGTGAAGAAGATTAAATGCATTCATTAAATGTTTTTTTAGTCGCTCAAACTAAAATCAAATAAAATGCACACTTTCACAGAAGTAAGGACTTGGTCTGTAATCCATTGCTGCGTATACAAACACTACCCAGGCCAGCTTTGTGTTTATGATTACAGCTGTTTTGCTTGTTTTAATTCGAAGCAAACTATACATTTTGGAAGTTTGGATAGTTTATTAGAGCCATGTGAGGATGCTACTTTGGAGTCTGGGCATTTCTAGTTATTTCTTACTTCTTAAAATGTTAAATGCTTACTTAAATAAGCAATTAAAATAGCCATTGTTGCTGTTGCCACAATTTTGAGTGAGCTAGCCAAATAGAAAGAGGGAATGATTGCTGGTGCAGAGACAGGACCTTGAGATGATTATGAACCCAGCAGCTCATTACTGCTTTGCTTAAACTGTAAACACCAGGCACATTTAGAGTAGTTGTTTCAGTGGCCGCTTGTTTATGTTGACCCTGATAGGGGTTAAACTTTACACGTGGACGTTGTGCAAGGATAACCAGTTAACAACAGAATAAACAGATCTAATACTTCTACACATCACATCACACTACATCACAAGATCTTCAGTTTGCAG